GTAACTCCTTGCTGGAATTCCAGGAATCAAAAGCTGCAGCTCGATCTGCATTCACTCTGGACAGATCTGTCCTGCACTGAGAAAGGATGAAGTGTGTGCTGCAGGAGGCTCTGGCCATAATTCCATTTTGGAGAATATATTTTTTCAGGTTCCTGAAAGGCACTGGCTGGAGTGGAAGCTCTGTGAGTGATGATGTGTCTGTGTGAGAACACCTCCACCACTCCTGTGAGATGTAAAACCAGTGGTGCTACTGCTCCCACCCCCTTTGAGAGGCTGCCCTTAGCTGATTTGGGTCAGATTTGTTATTTTAATAGAATCCTGTTGTGCAGTGCAGTAGGATAATGGGATTGTTTGTCTTTCCTATTGTGCTCTTCATCAATAGATTTTTTTTTTCTGTGGATACTAAACTTTCCTCTATTTTAGAGGTGAGGAGTTGTTGCAAAAAGAGGTGACCAGGGACAGAGGCAGAGACAGGAGCACATTTGCCAGACTCCTATTCTCTGTATTTCCCAGTCCCTTACAGCTAAAGAATGACCAAACCATTTGAAAAATATCTAAATATCAGCTCTATTAGAAAAACAGTCAATAGATCATCTTGCTCATTTATCCCCATAGTATCCATCTGCAACTTATTAAAACAGCCTAAAAGTGAAGCCCTCATTCACCACCTCATTTTTCTTCCCCTTTTGTTTGTTTGCCTGCTTACTTGCCTGGGAATTTGTTACACAGAGCCCTGGGAATGCAGAATGTACAATAAAAACAAATAAAAATGCCCTCTGAGTGCACAGATCACCCCTGAGATGGTGCCTGCTGAGCAGCCCTGCACTCCAGGGTCACAGGGCTCCAATTCTGGAACCTTTTCACCCAAAACTCCTTGGAGAGCTGTGGGATCAGCCCCTTTCCTTGTGAAGCTGTAGCATGGATTGTGGAATGAGGGACCTGGAGGTCTTCAGGGGCACAGGAGCACTGCAGTGTCTGTGGGCAGGCACAGACTTCAGGTGAATATTCACTGTGTGAGCAGTGTGTGCCCTCTAATTAATTTCTCACCAGCTCAGGACATCTACATTCCTCTGCCAGTGGAAATAGAGCTTTTTATTATTATTGTTTAGATATGAGTATAACTTCGAGCTTCATTAAAACCAAATGTTTAATTGCACTCACAGATCTCAGGTTTATCAATTTACTTAATTTCCCCTGTATAGTGCAGCAGAATAATATATAATAGTGTCATATAGTGCTGTCCCAGCCAAGTTTTCCTTCAGCATCACAATTTCTCAGACAAGTATGTGTTGATGGTTTATGTTGGCAGGACCTGTGCTTCTGCTGACAAGTTGGAAAAGAAAAATCCCATTTATATTTTGAGATTTCCTAAAGCCTGTTGATTTATGAAATACGACTGGCCTCGCTTTAGGTTTTGTTTTGGTTTTCCCTTTTAAGAGGAAAAAAAAATATATTTGATTTTATCGACAGTTTAAAAAGTGGAATTATTCCATTAAATTGCCTTTCCCTGATTGAGGGATTCCTGGCAGTGTGGAATTATGTGAGTTTTAATCTCTGTTTGAGACGGGGAGAGCTCTCCCATCCCACACAGACATTCCCAGGTGTGCACATGGCTCAGAGGGGAGGACAGGAGGCAGAACCCCTGAGATTCCCATCTCCAGGCTGGGGCAGCAGGGATGTGGAGCTGCTTGGTCTGGTGCTGACCCCAGGCACGAGCAGGGACCAAACCCTGTGCAGGGCTGGAGTCAGATTTAACCCAGGCTCAGGACCACACTGGAGCTGCTTCCAGTTGGCCTGGAGCCTGGGAGCTGATGGCTGGAGGTGCCCTTGGGATGGATATTTTCCCTCCCTCTCTGCTACCAGTGATGGAGGAGACAGAGGCAGAATTTCAGGTAGGCTTGGGGTTGTCTCTTGGCTTTCCTGCCTGCCTCTTGTAAATCTTTCTGACTTCCCAGCATCTGTGGGTTTGGGACCAAGGAAAACCCAGAATTAGACACCTGACACTAAAATTTGAATAGTTCATATTGCTTTTTTTCCCCCTCAAACATTTATAATCCTGGGAATTCTTGTAGTCCTTTGTCTGTTAAAAATCCTCCAGACTGGTCTTAAGGACTTGCTGAAATCTCTTTGGGGTTCTTTGTGTAATTTTTGCTTGGGGATCTGTAGTTTAATATGCCATTTGCCACATTAATATTTTATTTGCCACAGTGGAAAACACTACTTTGTTTAGCATTAATGGCTCCTGAAAAATAGAAAAGTTCCTGGGAACGTGGGCTGACTCAGGAGTGTGGGAGAACCCTGTGAAGAGGGAGACAGAGAAATGCTGGAGGAGTAACAGAAGCTTCTTGGAAACACCTGAGGAGAGTGGAAGGAACCAGTAGCTATAGATTTATTTTATTTGCCTCAAATTCTCAGTCCTGAATGACTGGTGGGTATTGTTCACACACACAAAAAATAAAAAAGAAAGGAACCATAACTCTTGACTCGTTACATTTTTAAGGTGCTGTGCTTGGCACTGCACAATGGGGGAAAAAATGCAACTGGAGGAAAGGAAAATTAGTCAAAACCAGAGAGCTGGCCAAGAAAATTCATATTTGATATTCATTATCTTATTACAGATGGTCACAAGCCAAGTGCTGATATCCTGTAGGCAGCACTCAAGGGATAAGTGTGCTTTAAATGAAAAGTCTGGTTTTCTTTCTGCCAAATCTGCAGATTTTCCTTCTCCTGGGATTGCTCCATAGGCAAAGGGAAACTGTCCTAAAAGGCCCACGCTGTCCCTTGGGATGGGAATCAGACTGGTGTGCTCAGGAAAAACCCAAATTAATCATTCTGGGATCTGATCATTTGTCCATATCCTCAGCAGCTAAAGGAAACGAGGGGTAAAGAAATGGTTATTTAGTTCTTTGTAAAAAAATGGTTAATTAGTTATTTTTAAATAAATGGTTATTTAGTTCTTTTTAAAGAAATGGTTATTTAGTTCTTTCAGACAGAGGTTGGGTACATGAGGGATACATTGGAAATGTGGCATTGATGTGGCACATTTTGGATATGAACTCCTGAAAACAAGATGCTCACTTTAAAATATTTAAAAAAAAAATAATTGAGGGAACTCTACTCAGGATACAACTAAGTCTCTCCCTTTGTAGTGTAAGTAATGAAAGAAAATTGTTGAAGCTTCTAATTTTGAAAGTGAATGTTCTAAGGGCAAATTTAGCATTAAAAATAAACCCCTGCATGCTTTTCTGTTGTTTCTGAGTTGTCAACACAGGGAGCTGGTCAGGCTGGCCCATTTCAAACAGTGAGTAATGGACTCCTGCCTCCAGAATTAAATGATTAATTGCACAAGGCCAAGACAACAATCCTTATTTGATTGCGCTGATTACAGGGCTGCTGGTTTTCGGAGTAAAGCGAATACTTTGTCCTAATTTCCTAAATCCTCCAAGGAGTGAGGCAGCTCTGACAGTAATTCAGAGCTGTGGGGTGTGAGGTTACTCGGTGACCTGCCCCAGGTGTCCCGTGTGTCAGGAGGTTGTTGGGATCCTGGCTGGAGCTGCTGGGATAAATCAGCCCAGCCTTGCCAGCCCTGATCCATCACTCCCAGCTGCTGGGTGATGGGTGGACCTGTCTCACCTGCTCTGCCAAGGGGGCTGAGGAAGCTGCAGATGAATTATCACAGCCTGAGCCTTGGTTCAGGGCAGTAAAACAGGCTCCTGGGTCTGCTGTTGGACAGATTTTGATATGGTGGCTTTCCAGGCTGCTTTTTTCTCTTGGACTTTTAGCTGTTCCAGTCACCAGGAAAATGTCTGTTGGCTTGGATGAACTGGTGTTAATGGTGCTCTGAATCTGCAGCCAGCTTGGAATTAATACTTCAGTTAATTTGTTAGCAGACCAAAGACTTTGAATTTCTTCCTCATACCTTCCTAATAATAGGATAACTTAGGTAGCTTTTTCCTAATAATTACAATTTTACTTTTAAATCAGTCTTCATAGTATCATTAACCTGCTCCTGGGTCCTTTTTCTCCTATTTTATCCTTCTTTTTTGTAACTTTCTGGAAAATTGTACCGTGACACTGGTCTCACAATGGTTGTTGTATTTTACCTTTATCACAGCATAGACAGAAATAAAAAGGGCAGACACTTCTAAAACTTCAAAAATACACACTAAGATAATAAAATTGCTCCATCCCTTGTCCCCAGTCCCTCTCCAGCTCTCCTGGAGCCCCTTTAGGCACTGGAAGGGGCTCTGAGGTCCCCCTGGAGCCTTCTCCTCTCCAGCCTGGACACCCCCAGCTCTCCCTGTCACATTCTCAGCCTTTTGCCACCCTTTTTTTGCTGTGGTATCTAGGCAGGACCCAGCACAAGGACCCTCTTTCTTTCCTCCTACAGGTTGTAGCTTACAGAGTTCAGCCAGAGAGCTTTCACTGCCACATCTCTGAGTTCCTCTGGAGCAGGTGGTGTTGCTGTCAAAATTATTCTTTTGGGCAGTAAAATGAGCGAAACAGGAACCAACTCTTCCTGTGTCTGAGCTTCCCTCCACTGCCCCACTCTGCAATAATCCATCCTGACACCACGAGGCCTCTTTGATCTGGCAGGGTTTGGTTTAGCAGCTCTAATGGAGCTGCAGACTGGAATGGATGTTTTCCCACTGTACCTTCCTTCCCAAAGCCTTTCTCCTTTTATTTCGTTTGCCGTGGCTCCGGCGGCGTCGGCAATGCATCACTGGGAGAATGGAAAACAAATAAAGCACAAATATCATTTTGCTCTGCAGTGCAGCACTTCAGAAGAGACAGATTTCTGTGAGCCATTGGTTCTTTTAAAGTATAGTGTGTGCTGCAATGACAAATGTACAGCTTTGATGTTTCCTGCTCTGCTCGCCCGTGACATTGTAAATCAGTGTTTTGCTTTCTCATACTCCATCATTATTAAACTTGGTGTAACTCTGGTGTAGACAAGCTCCTGGAACCCACGTGTCTCACTCTGCTCTCCTGTGTCCCAGGGGAATTATTGTGTTTGAAAACATCAGCTACATTCTGGAGCCATTGGAAGGTGCTACAGGCGAGCACAAGATCTACCGAGCGGAGAACCTGAGAGTGGCCCCGGGCTCTTGTGGCCACCAGCTGGACGTCCCTGCCACGATGGCTGCTGCCACTGCCACCTCACAGCGTCCTCCAGCCGGCAGGGTAGGTGGCTGATGTGCTTTTCTGTGTCTGGTTGGCAGCATTTCCATATTGCTGCCCACCACAAGAGTCTCTACTGAGCAAAACCTTATCCCACACCGTCGACTTGCCTCGGTGCCGTCTGCTGAAGTGCAGATGAAATTATTTGTTAAAGCTTTATTACTTTTCCTGGACTCTCCATGCATAACTTGCTTTTCACTTCCTTTTCAACACAGAAAGGTTTATGGGTTCACATTATGATCATATATTTTGGTTCTTGTATGGTTAGAACCAGAATTTGAGGCTCCCTGAGAATACTGAGCGATGTCTGGAAAAGTTCTTGCCCTCCCAAGATGAAAGAGAACATGATAGCTGGGATACTTTGCTAATACCAGGTTTGGAACCTCTATATTTTAGTAGCGAAGTCTGTTATGCAGACAAAACAAATTCTCAGCATATTATTTTACAGATGTATTATTGGAGTCGCTGTGATGTTGGCAGAAATGTACTTCATGTGAGATGCATTTACCTAATGGAAATTAGAAAATTAAATGAGCCAAAAACCAGGAAGGAGAAATGCTGTAACAAATTCATCTGCATGTTGGATGAGGGTTGTAGAAAAGGCTGGGGATGTGTTCAGGAATTATGTAATGATATAAATCTGCCATCAGCATTTATTGAATGTCGCATATGAGGATTTGTACTTGCATGTATGACACAGGCTTTGCCTCAGGTCCATTATTAAGGAAAGCAACCTAAGTGACATCTCTAGATATAATTATGCAATGGAATTAATTTATTTTACATTTTTAGGATTATTACATTCAGAGCATTAGTCTTTGCATGTAACATAAGAATTAAGTGTAATTCTAAAAGCATGTGTGGGTGGAACACATTGGAAATACAACTTTATTAAGTTTTCCCCAAATTATTTGTGACTTCAAATTCCACTGAAGTAGTCAGTGCAATGCAGAAATAAAATGTGTGCATGTAACAAATTGACACAATCAAAGCCATTTTATTATTACCCTTATGGTTCTTCCATTTTGCTGCTGGCTTCAACTACATCTTAAATTTCACTTTAAATATCTGAACAATATTTTTGCTGTGGTTCAGTGGACATAATTATAAAACCTGTCAGCAGTCACATCATATGGATAGGTACAATATATTTAATGAGTAAGTTGGTTAAGCTTATAATGTAGGAATTTTGAAAGCTGTCAAATGTCATGTGTGCAGTGAGTTTTCATATTTCAGTGTTGTCACTAAGCAGTCTGTCAAATAAAGATGACCTGCAAAGTGGGGAAACATAAAGCTGCTCCAAATCATGCTGGGTGACAGAATTAAGCAGAAATCTGGTCTAAGGTTCAGGGTATGATTAAAATATTTGACTTCTTGACAGGTCTGGGGGAAGATTTTTGTTTGGTTTTATCCCCTGACTCTCCACTCAACCACCTACACGGAATTCTTATTGAGCAGAGCTGAAATGTGAGATCAATATATCACCAAGGGCTTTGGTTAGATGCAAGTGCAGGTGAAGGATGGCACAAGCAGCAGATCCAAGCAGGAGCTCAGGGCAGGAGGTGCAGAGGCTGTCACAGACACTGTCCCAAACCTGCTGTGTCCTGCTGGAGCGGGGTCTCTCTGAGTGCTGGGTCATTTCCTGACTCACTGGACCCTCAAATTGCCCCAAGGAGCATTTCCAGCTGAGCTCCATTGGGGCAGCACCCTGCAGAATGTCTGGTGTGTGTGACACACCCGGCAATAGGGAATTTTCTCTGTAGCCACAAGGAAAAAAAGCCATTTTGGTGATGCTGGCGACCAAGAGCAGGGAGGGGATTTTTTAGAGCATAAGGAAAGAGAGGCTGCACCACTGCAGTGTCCATCCCAGCCATGCCAATTCCCAGGCAGGGAATGCTGAGGAAGAGGTTCAGCTGCTGGGACAGCAGGTTTGGGACAGGATCAGGTGGGGAAGAAGCAGAGGAGAGAGCCCATGGTGAGTGGAACAAAGCCCATTGTCCCCCAGCTCCCATGGCTGTGTCACTGAGTCCTCATTTCAGTTCTGAAGGATTAACTCAGCAAAGGGGTTGTGCATTGATGCAGCTGGCTGCAGAGAGCAAGCTGAAAGAAGCCATAATTAGGTATATTTCGTAAATAAATATTGTGTCCTAGGAATTCACATAGCCTTTGGGCAAATCTCAGGAACAGATTTGTTATGCAAGTCAGTCACCAGAGGCTTATGTGATTTTTGTGCCTGCTAGCCAATTTCTCTCCAGCTCACTCCAGTCCAAACAGTTTTACTCTTGGTAAGAGGGAAATGTTCTAAACTGACTGATGTAACAGAGCTCTCCTTGCTCCTTTGAACTCACATTTTCCTGTATCATCTTTTCTTCTTCACTTGGAGGAGGATGAGAGGCACCTTGGAGATGCATCTCTTTGGGACCTCATAATAAATTTCAGGACGGGAGAGTTTTAGTGTCTGAGAGATCAATTCCATCTCAAACTGCAGCCACGTGGCCATTTGCCTTTTGTGGCACCTCACTCGTGTCTGAGTGACATCACACCCCAGCAGCAGGAGTTTTAAAATAATCTACCTCAGCTCATTTGCCAGAGCCCCTAATCAGTGTAATCCTGTCAAGTGTTTGTATCCTTGGTGTTTAGTTCATTAACAGCAGCTTTCACTCCTCTCTCCATCCATAAATATAGTCCAAATGAAACTTTTTTTCAAGTTATTGGAGTTTGCAACACTTATTAAATATTAGGTTGAAAGTCAGATACTAAAGATTGCATCGCTCACTTTTCCTCTAATTCTTGCAAAACATCAAAATCATTAATCTGCAGATAGTGAAGAGGAACATGATAATGTGAAGAAAACTTTGTGAAATCGGGTGGAAGGAGATGTCCAGCTCTGGCTATGCTTAGGGGATCTCTCAGTTTGCCTTGGAGCAGTTTTCCTTGGAAAGCTTTAGTCGTGTTTGAGGTTAAAGAGCTTTGCTGCAGCTCAAGACATCATGGTCAGTAGGTCAAACATCTGTTTAAGCCCTCTAAGTTCTGGCAGGAAGATCAGATACTCTGCTGAGACCTCTTTTCCCTAAATGTTCTAGTCCAGACACAAGGAAGGAATGATAGAATACATGCTGCTGCTGCTGTAAATCACAGAACTTTTACAGGCACTAGTAGGTCATTTAAAATTAGGGTAGCAAAGAAGCTGTGACATGTTTTGTGCTCCTACAAAATAATTTCTTCACTGATTTTTCTGTTTTTTCAGGTTTTTTTCAGTTTTTCAGTTAAGCATTATGATTATTTTAGACCCGCATTTTATATGAATATGGAGAGACAGAATTAAATGTGTGCCTTACATTTTTCAAGTATTAATTTGCTTCCCCAGACACTGACAGTTGCTTTTTTATTTTTGGGTTTTTCTTCCTACATAATTTATCAGTTGACTGCTTGACCTCTTCTCTGCTTCACTCAATATCCCTTTATCTCTCATTTTTCTTAGTAACCAGTTTGTCTATTGTGTGAAATGTTTGTTAGAAGTTACCTCATCTCTCCTTTAAAAGTGCCTTGGAAATAGCAAAGGTCTTTCTGCTGGAGGGGACATTCTCCTGTGAGGAAAGATAACTCAAACGTTTCAGCTGCAGAAAGCTGAAAGGTTGAGAGAGACTTTGCACCACTCTCCTGCTTTCTGTGATCAAACCCTGAGAGGTTTTGTAAGGAAAACTTCCATGAGCAGGAGGAGGAACACGCTGTAAATCTGTGTGTAGTAAAATCTTAGTAAAATGTAGGAAACCTGAGACACTGTGTGTTTCCTCTTGCAAGCACTTTGTTGTATCAGGGCTGAAAACGAAATAAGACTTTCATGGTTTTTTTGACAGTACAAGAGGGAGACTCTGAAGACAACGAAGTACGTGGAGCTTGTTATTGTGGCAGATAATCGTGAGGTAAGGAACTGCCAAATAAAAAGTTATGTGAGCAGCAAAGGGGCAGCTCAGTGCAGTTACCATGGTGCTGCAAATAAGGTGCTGCAGACAAGAATATGATGTTTTCTGAGGTAAATCATCCTCCCTAATTAGGGCTGAGCAAGGAAGGAATTATTAAGATAGGACAACAGTGATACTCAGTTGTGAAATTTCTTGCAATACCTCAGAAGGAGTTTGACTCTGAAATAACTGTGTCAGTATGGGAGAAGGGGCAAATAAATATTCATTCCTTGAGCAGGTTAAGTCCTCACTGCCACTCACAGTGCCCTCAGTGGGGCTGTCAGGGCTTCTGGAGCAGTGCTTGGCCATCACATTCCGTGGAGCACGACTGCCTTCCTGAGGGTTTGCAAAGGGAGCTTCAAAGCACCCAGCACTGGCTGTAAAAATGTTCCAGTGAGCTGAATGGCAAAGATCTGAATCCTGGCTTGAATTATTTTGCTGCCTTTTTTTTTTGTCTCTTTGAACACTGCTACTTAGAGAGTTGCAATCACTCTTTGCAAGACCTGCTAAGAGAAGAACTATTTCCCAAAACATCAGTCCTGGAAAGACCCCTATATAATACTTGGAGATTTTAAAATCTTTTCACAAGAACCAAAATCCTGTCCCACAGTCTGGGTTTCTTTTGGGGGGCAAACTGTGGATCCGCAGGAGTCTGCTGGGGGATTTTGGCTGCACCCTAATTCCCAAAGATCCCTGATGTGCTGGCTCTTGGGGGGAAACTCTGGGACATTTGTACTGCTGGTCCATTGATCCTTTACATTCCAAGTTTCAGAGACAAGGCAAAGATGTGGAAAAAATTAAGCAGAGGCTGATAGAAATTGCAAACTACGTTGATAAGGTAAGAACATGAGGATTGTTTCCCTCTTCCCAACCTTCCCACACTTTCTGTAGGATGCTGAAGGAGCTAACCCTGCAGCTTTGCTGGTACTCTGGTATTTCAGACCAAAACTCTTGGAAAAGCAAATTTAAACTTTTCATTTGCCTTTTGATACACAAAGCCATGAGCACTGCTCTGCTGCATTTGGGATGTAAAGATCTATTCCTAAGAAAAAGCCCAATTTAGCCCTAGGATTTTATTCACCAGGGAGGAGGGTGGGGATAATCACCTATAGAACATCATATAGGAAAAAAGAGGATTATTTTTAAGATAAATTTGGAGAACAAAGTCATTTGTAGCAACAAGGGAAGGTCCAATTGTAAGGCCAACAAGGCCCGTGAAAACACAGATAATGAGATGTGTAATCCAAGGAAGATGGCAGAATTAAAAATCAGGAAGCAGAGTTGATGGCTGAGTGGGAGCAATGAGAGAGAGAGACATACACTGGATTTTTTTAGGTCTTGAAATAATTCCTTGACAGTAAACAATAAAGTCTAAGAATCCTCTAGAGTGGTTTTTGAACAAATTGGAGTTTATTTTTGTTAGTCTGTATGGCCAGAAAATATTAGGACTCTAGTAGTGAAATTATAACTGAGAGTGTCTTAATTTATCTGAGAACTTATCAAGTGATACTTCAAGGGCAGTAGCTCAAGGAGAAGCATTCCTGATTAAAAACAAGCTGCTGAAGACACCTCCACCTCATCCATAATTGTCTTGCTGACTTATTGCCAGAGGACAGGTGTTTATGTGTTACCTGCTCAAAATTAATTTTGCATATTGTAATATATTTTTTGTTCCATGCTTAATTTATGCTCAGCAAACGCTGGCGTTCTGCAAATGTCTGGAATGCATGGAAACAAGACAAAGATCTACTGGGTGCTTTCCTCAGCCTGTCAGGCAAATCTGGACCGGATCAGCCCCTGACTCCTTCCTCACATTACTCTCACATTAGAACTGTTGTCGTGGCTCTGCTGATGTTGCTCTGGCTCCCCTGTTGAGGCAAAATGGCATTTTCTGGTGGGGGAATAGATAAAATCACTGGGGTTTGTCTGCTCTGTGCAAGGCTTGATGAGCCTGGCTCGTTTTCTGTTATTGTGAACCACAGCCATAGCACAGCCCAGTTCCTCTGGGATGGGAGCTGTGCAATCCAGGGTGGGGCAGCCCTGGGACACTCATCTGCCATGGCCTGGAGTTCCTTCAGAGCTGAAGGACATGGGCAGGGAGTTCAGGGGTGGGTAGGACAGGGAGAAGCAGGAAATCCCTGGATCTCTTTGAATGCCTGATGGGTATTGAGTTGGGTCAGAACTGTTTTGTGGGAAATATTTTGTCTGAGTCCTGTCAGGTGTTTTGCCCTGAAGAAGAAATTGTTTTAACCTCTACAAGAAAGGTTCATTATGTTTTTGTTGAAATATTCTCATCTGAAATACTTTTTAGACACCTATTTCCTACTTTTCTCTTCTCCATAGTTCTACAGGCCACTAAACATCCGAGTGGCCCTGGTGGGAGTGGAGGTGTGGAATGACATGGATAAGTGCTCCATTTCCCAGGACCCTTTCACCAGCCTGCATGAGTTCCTGGACTGGAGAAAGCTCAAACTCCTGCCTCGGAAAGCCCACGACAACGCACAGCTGATCAGGTAGGCTGGACTCTGGATTTGGGAGGTTTTGGGGATTTCAGGATAGCTGTGCTGAGTCCATCCCCAGCTGCTAAGCTCTTGGAAGGTACATCTGTGCTCCTGAGGGTTTGCCTGTCCCCTCTGCAAACATCAAACCCAAATTCACTCTGCAGGGCCCTGCAGCAGATGCTCCAGGTGAGTTTCCTCTCCCAGCCCTGGTGCTCAAAGCCTGTCCTGAGTACAGCAGGAGGTTGTAATCAGCTGCTGCATGCTCAGGTTGTGAATTTACAACCAGTTTAAACTGCCCTCAGTCTAAATTGTCAGTGGAAAAGGCAGTCCTGCTCTGACCCTAAGTGAAGCTTGTTTCTTAATGGAACAACCTCAGCATGCTTTAAAATGCTGTCTGATTTAGACAATTCATTTGCATTCAGGATTTAAAAATTAAACCATAAACATATTTTACCCTGCTGATTTTTCTTGGAATAAGGAATTGAGTAAAGGTCCCTTTCAACCCAAACTAGTCTATGATTCTGTAAAAGTAAAAGCACTCTAAAAAACAAAAGGTAAGAGAAACACCTCTTTTTTGAATAGGTATTTTTTTGATCAATTGGCTATTCTTTATCCTGAGCAGATAAACACAACTGATGTCTCAGTAATTAAAAGGAGTTATTTACTTCTTACACTACCTGAATGAGAATAAATTGAGCCTTTCCAAACTGTCCCCCCTGAGATATTCGATTGCTCTATATGTACCATAACACTTTGTTTGAGATTATTACATTCAAGGCTGTGCATCATCACAAGCAGCACATAAACTTCCCCCTGCATTACAACAACCCTTCTTTGAGGTAGAGACATCATTTGTGTGCTTGTACTCCTGTTCCCCACTTCAGAAACAAAGGAAGGGAAGAAGGGTCCTGTTGCAGCAGTAAAAACTAAGGAGGGTGATCCAGTGGGGATGATCAATGGGGATGATCCAATGGGAGTGATCCATTGGGAGTGATCCATTGGGGATGATCCAATGGGGGTGATCCATTGGGAGTGACCCAATGGGGATGATCCAATGGGGGTGATCCATTGGGAGTGACCCAATGGGGATGATCCAATTGAGCTTATCCAGTGAGGGTGATCCAGTGAGGGTGATCCATTGGGAGTGATCCATTGGGGTAATCCAATGGGGATGATCCAATAGGAGTGATCCAGTGAGGGTGATCCATTGGGAGTGATCCATTGGGGTAATCCAATGGGGATGATCCAATGGGGGTGATCCAGTGGGGGTGATCCATTGGGAGTGATCCATTGGGGTAATCCAATGGGGATGATCCAATGGGGGTGATCCATTGGGAGTGACCCAATGGGGATGATCCAATTGAGCTTATCCAGTGAGGGTGATCCAGTGAGGGTGATCCATTGGGAGTGATCCATTGGGGTAATCCAATGGGGATGATCCAATGGGGGTGATCCAGTGGGGGTGACGCAATGGGGGTGATCTATTGGGGCTGATCCATTGGGAGATGGTCCAATGGAGGTGATCCATTGGGTTAATCCAATGGGAGTTACCCAGTGGGGGTGATCCAGTGAGGGTGATCCATTTGGGATGATCCATTGGGGCTGATCCATTGGGAGATGGTCCAATGGAGGTGATCCATTGGGAGTGATCCATTGGAGTGATCCAATGGGGATGATCCAATGGGGGTGATGCAATGGGGGTAATCCAATGGGGGTGATCCATTGGAAGTGTCCCAATGGATGTTCCAAAAGCTGGGACATCATGGCTCAGTTCAGCTGAGGCAGCTGGGGATGATCCAATGGGGGTGATGCAATGGGGGTGATCCAATGGGGGTGATCCATTGGAGTGTCCCAATGGATGTTCCAAGAGCTGGGACACCGTGGCTCAGTTCAGCTGAGGCAGAACAGCCCATCTGGGCTTTCCATTGCTCTAGACCTGCAAATGTGAGGGGCAGGAACAGGGCCTTTGTTTGAGAGTGGCAGGAATGCAGAGCTGGGAAGGACAGGGGGTTATCCTGGCACTGACTGCTGGCTCTGTGTCTCCTCTCCCCTCCTGCAGCGGGGTGTACTTCCAGGGAACAACCATTGGCATGGCTCCCATCATGAGCATGTGCACAGCAGAGCAGTCTGGAGGGGTCGTCATGGTAAGTGGGGCAAGCACTCAGCCACTCAGCCTGGCCCAGCTGGGCTGACACACACCAGGCCCTGCAGTCCTGCCTCCCGAACCAGCCCCACCTGGCCCATTTTCCATCTCTCTGTCGTTCATATCCCCCTTCAGATTGCTTGTAAATTATAGTTTCCATAGTGAAAAACCCCAAATATTGCATTGAAATATAGCAGGGCCTCTTTGCAAGGAGTTTATTCCTCTAATTGTTACTGAACCAGGTGCTGAGGTGCTGTGAAGGAAGAGAACCAGAAGATGTATTTGTTATACACTAGAGTATACTTGTGTTACAGGCAGCAGCAGTCTATCCTGAATCTTTTATTATATTGATTTTATTCTGTATTTATAGAGTTTCCTGTGTTAGGCCTTATTTTCCATCTTTGCAGCAGTGGTTTTATTGCATTGCCAGACAGAGAGAACAAACAATGGCAGCATTTATTCCAGCTGAGTCTCTCCTAGGGCATTAATGTTATTGTTAGATGCAAGACATGGTGAACACACAAGCAAACATCTTGTCCAATCTCTGGAAGGAGTTCTGATGTACTTTATTTCTGATTTTTTCTTTTTTTTTAAATTTCAGTTTTTCAGTGCTTTGTGCTAAGACAGAGGGAAGAAGCTTTAAACTAGAACAATCAAATCACATAATTTGGGAAAAGTTGTGTCAGAGTTGTAGAAAAGACAAAGGTTTCAGGCTCTTGATAGCTTGAGAAGCTGAGTCTGTAATTGCTGTCTGTAGCAATTATTTACTGGGTACCTGGGGGACAGGTACAAAAGGAAAAGGAGGAAAAAAAGGAAGAAAGAGCTGTAGGAGTGTCCCAGTGCACCCCCAAGTCTTGGTAAAGGCACAGATGAGGCAGAGAGTCCCATTTTACCCATTTGACTCAGCCCTGCAGTCACTGCTTGGCTTTATCTGCAGTCAGAGATGCCCTTAATGATGACTTTTTGTCCTTTTTAATTTTTAGCATAAGATTTAAAACACTCCACATGGTAATTTACAGCCAAGTCAGTTCTCTTTGCTCTGGAAGCTGTCATTTTAAAGAGAAATAATTGCAAATAGTTCATTCCAGTAACAAGAAAACAAGAATCAGCATTTCTTTAGAACATTCCCATAGAGAGGGCACTGATTTATATGTCCAGGAGAAACCCAGGCTCTGTGGAAGAGTCCTGGGCCAGGCTGAATCTGCTGTCATGAAGGGGAGCAGAGACTCAGTGAATTTAAGCTTTTGAGGTGCAAATTAAATTGAAACCTGCACAGAATAACCAGAAATGTTCTGTGGCTCTTTAAACAAGTACTCAAAAAGGAGCCAAATGCAAATGAAGCAAACACTCACCCCAAAACCCAAAAGTGCAGCTGCCCAACCATCCCCTGAGTTAGCAAAGGCTGATTCAGGCACAGACAAAACATTTATATTTATTAGTACCTGTACCCTGGCACAGCTGCCCAAGGAAGAAGTGGATTCCCCACTCCTGGAAGGATTTAAAAGCCCTGTGGAGGTGACACTTGGGGACATGGGGCAGTGGTGGCATTGGCAGTGCTGGGGCATGGTTGGACTCCTTGATCTTAAAGGTCTTTTCCACCTAAAAGATTCTGTGATTCTATGAAAGAATGAATCACTCTCAGCCTGGGAAGGTCAGGGGCTCAGGTGTCTCGACACTGCACAAATGAGCATTTGGCCAACCTCATAATTCAGCCAATTTCTCACCCATGCCACCCCCAGCACTCAACACCAAAAGCTCCCACGCTTTAAAACCTGTTCTGGAAGAAAAGACAATGAGAGACTGCGTCAGAAATGACATTTGAATACAAAATCTGGAGTGACTCTTGTCTGATGTGATTTTGCTGGTTCTTTTTGCAGTTAGTCAGCTCTACTGTATGATCTAAATTCCTCTGTCATGCCTCCCTGGGAGCCTGCCTGTCTCTTTTCTATAGGGCTGAGCTCTCTCAGTGGGTGACACCCTGGCTCCCATTAATTTGCAGAGGAACTCAAAGCAGGGAGAGCAGCCATGTGAGTGTGAGGAGCTTTAACAAGACCTTTATCATTTCATTTCCCTGTGAAGTTTCTGTAGTGTCGCAGAAAAACCAAAGGGAAGTTGACATTAAAGCAAGTCTTTGACGTGATTCAGTCTTCATTCTTCTGTTTCCAAAGGTTGCCCACTGAATTCATGGATTTAAAAGTAAAATATTTCTGAGAGAAGAGGAAAGTGACTTTTTATCTGGGCAGACAGTGATAGGGCAAGGGAGAATGGTTTTAAACTTACAGAGGAGAGACTTAGATGAGATATTAGGAGAAAATTGTCCCCTGTGAGTGTGCAAGGCCCTGGCACAGGGTGCCCAGAGCAGCTGTGGCTGCCCCTGGATCCCTGGCAGTGCCCAAGGCCAGGCTGGACAGGGCTGGGAGCACCTGGGACAGTGAAAGGTGGGGTGGGACTGGATGGTTTTTAAGATCCCTTCCAATTCAAACCATTCTGTGGCTCCATGAACCGAGTGAACATACTGAAAATACCAGGAGCAGGGCATTTGCCTGGTGGAGCTGTAGGTGACAGCATTTAATGATTAGGATTTGATTTAAATCCCAGTGGAATGAAGCAGAATTCAGCTGAAAGCAGCTGCATGTTTTGTGCAACAGCTTATAATGCCTTAACAGTAGATGGTTGCTTATTCAGTGGTTGTGAAATGTGTTTGGTAATGACTTTTACTGCTCAAGTTAACTTTGAAGGACCCTGGTGGAATAAATCAAAGTCACATTGCTATTCATTTCTTTAGTCCTTGTGATTCTTAAATGGTCTCGGTATCAAATGGAACATGTCACTGTTTGTTTTGATAATCTTCATTTATGCTGTCTTCAAATAACCTCTTTTGCTGAGGCATCACATTCCTCCTTCTAAAAACCCTCTCTAGAAGCTGATAAAATTGCATTCCAAGTGGATCTGAGCAAGTAATGAGAACCGCATGGGCCAGAATAATTGTTTGCCTTTTCAAGTCCCAAATTACATTTCACATCATTTATTGCTCCACTTCTGGAGTGGACTGTGTGAATCCTTATTTTTAGTTTTAGTTGACGGCTTCAGAGTATTCAGAGAAATAGAATCACTGCTCAGTAAGTGGAGGAGATACTGGAAAAATAAAGAAAGTCTGAGCTCAATTTGCTGTGTGTCTGTAGCTCCGTGAGGAGTTTCTGCCTTGACCAGATAGCCTGAATTTCAAGGCATCATCCAGTGAGTCAGTGGTAAATTATATGGAATTATTTTGCTGTTTTCTTAATCTTCAGCCCTGCATTTTTTTCCATTTGAGTGAGAGGCTGTGCTCTTTTTCTGACATCAGGTTCAATTACACTGAATTCTCTAAGTATTCCATCAATTACTGTTGCACAAAGATAAATCCATCTGTATCAGACCAGTATCTAGATATCTCGTTATGTAGGTGTTGTGCAGGACAAACTGCACATAAACTGCCTGTCACAACATTTTTATATCAAGATTTTAAAATTCAGGAATTTTTTTTTAGAGAGACATTTTGTGAACAGATAAAACTATTTTGAGTTTATTCCAATTACAGAAGGAGCATTTTGACTTGTGTAGAATGTCTGTATTCTCTTCTTGATTTTGTTTGCTATTTGAGAAATTATTTACTAAAAATATTAGCCCAGACAGATGAAAGAAGAAACTCTTAAATCTATCCCAAGTCATGTACGAAGTCCTCCATTAGTACATAGATAATGGTTTAGACAGTTTTACCTTTCACTTCTTTTTAGTCTGGAGTTTGGCTTAGATGATGCTGAAGGAGTTATTTAAAGTGAATATATTCATCCACGCTTCTAGAGCAGGCAGCTGTACACAGTAATTCCATTTACTGACTGATAAATAGTGGATCATGCATTTATATTACATGTTTATGCCTTCAGGGAAAGCTTTCTTACAAGTGTAGTGGATTTTTTTTTTCCCTCAAGGAAAATGATCAGTGTGGAAAGGTCTCTTACTTGTGGTTAAGCCAGAACATCATTCTGGTCAGCAGCCTGTACTCAAATCATGCAGTGAATTTCTCAGAAATTATTGTCCCAAAAATCAGCATTTAAACATGGATTACTGTTAACATTTCAAACTGACACTTTCAACATTTAGAGCATTTATAGGTTAATAAGAGGCCATGGAAGATTTTGGCTTGCTTTGGCCTTTCATTTTAAAAAGGAGATTTTTAAAGGTTCTTAGTTTTTCTTAAAAGGTTTGTGAAATCTTGGACATTTTGATATTAAAGAAACAGTCTGAAGCAAGTTAAATAGACTGAGTGAAATCTCTTGCTGCATTTTTAATTTGCCTCCTGACATGAAGGACTTCTCACTTCTCCCTCACCACACCACACTCATCCCCACCCATACATTATTGCTCTTTCCAACACTCCATGTCTGGTGACCTCTCTCTGCCACTGCTGGCATTGGGGCTTTGGGGGATTTCTTGAACTGCAGAATTTTAAGCCCCAATAAAGAGATGTTCACAGTGGTTTCAAATGTGTAAGGCAAAACTGGGTGGCCAGGAGGGCTGCCCTGAAATTCCCACTCTGCCCTATACAAGGATGAATTTAAACTTGAGTTTATTTAACAACAGAGTAACTTCAGCTGCTAAACTTATAGAACATTTCAAAGGACAGGCAATAGGACCTTAGAGGGGGAATGTGTGCCTTGAGTTGGGTTTGGGTGCTGAACTGACTGGTTCTCCTGTGGGTTTTGTTTTGAAGGATCACTCAGAAAACCCTCTGGGTGCAGCAGTGACGCTGGCCCATGAGCTGGGGCACAATTTTGGGATGAATCACGACACGCTGGAGAGGGGCTGCAACTGCAAAGCTTCCACTGATAAAGGGGGCTGCATCATGAACCCCTCCACTGGGTAAGTGCCAGCCTCAGACTGGCAAGCTGCACAAGCCACAGTGGGACAGCTGTGGCTTCATTTTGTGCCTCAGGAACACTGAAAGGTAAAAAAGAAAAGGTTTTTCAACACCTGTTAAATCTTGTTGCAGTTATCCTCTTCAAGGTGAAAGAATTAAATGTTATCAGAGCACATGTACTATTGCATCTTTCTGTTTCCAGGTTTAACAATGTGAGAGACAAAAATGCTGTAAGAAACTGAGTAATTTAAAAAAAAACAAACCAATCCACAACCAAACTGCACTGCAAGTGTTAAATCAGAATTTCACCTCCTCTCATCTTGCCAGCTGAGCATAAGTCACAATAGGAAATGAGCCAAGACTGAGATGAGTGGGTAGGAAATTCAGTAATGCAGGAAATGCACTCTTGGGCTCTCTGCAAACTCTGTGTCTCGTGCAGATCAGGTTTTTAGTTCTGCACAAACTTTTGTTGCAAGTGTAAAGCACTTTTAGCTCGTGAGAAAATGAAATCTGCAAGGTCGGCGGGATTAAGGCTGTTCTGTGTCCAGAGGGAGATCTTCCAAGAAAAGAGATCAGAAATGTGGGAAACACAAACCAGTGAACCTGTGGTCACTTCTGTGGGTGCTGGACTCGGTGATCCTGGTGGGTCCCTTCCAGCTCAGGAAATTCCCTGATTCCCTGTCAGAGCTGAGGGGAGGCTCTGCTGCTGGCAAAGGCACAAGAGTGTTTTGTAGACACTGAAATTTCTGTGCACCCTGGGCAGAGTGAGCTGTCACTGCTTGCAGGGATGTATTTTAAATTCATGTTGAAACTGAAGGATATGAGGAATGAGTTCTCCACGTCCGTGCTCAGACTGGGACTGAAAGGATTAAATTGAAGTAAGATTTGCCAGTTAAAGTGCCTGTGGCTGGAATCCAGTAAGAACCAGTGGGGCAAATATCTGCCAGCAGTGTAGGTACAGCTGGATGTGCCTTAGGACAAGAGGATGGCCTGGATGTCCTCTGATGTCCCTTCCAGCTCCAGCATTCTCTCTGTGTGCTTAAAGTTCATCTGTTGCTTAAAAACCTCTTCTGGGAACTGTGATCAGCTCTTCCTCTGCCTTTTCCAAGACTGCAGGTTTCTGGGAAAGAAGGGGAGCAATGTGGGAGAGGCCAGGGAGGGCTGGGCAGGGTTGTTCCCTGCTGGTCAGCCCAACAGCAGCCTTGGAATTCCTTCAAAGGCAGAGCTGTCACCCTCCATCGGGGCAGAAATCAGGGCTGTGGCCAGAGGCCAAGCACAGCAAACTGAGACAAACAAAAGAGTTGTGAGAGTGGAGGAGAACGAGAGGGGTTTCTGCAGCCTGGGAAAGGAAAATAACTCAGCTCTTCTGAGACAAAGGGAGGTGATAATCCCTATGGAATTCATCCTGCACAGGTCAGGGCTCTGCCACACTCTGGGGACAGAGTGAACTGGGAGAGGCTCTGAGCTGAGCTGAGCCTGGGCAGGCAGGGCTGGCTCTGAGCTGAGCCTGGGCAGGCAGGGCTGGCTCTGAGCTGAGCCTGGGCAGGCAGGGCTGGCTCTGAGCTGAGCTGGGCAGGCAGGGCTGGCTCTGAGCTGAGCCTGGGCAGGCAGGGCTGGCTCTGAGCTGAGCCTGGGCAGGCAGGGCTGGGCTCTGAGCAGAGCTGTGGGCAGGCAGGGCTGGCTCTGAGCTGAGCCTGGGCAGGCAGGGCTGGGCTCTGAGCAGAGCTGAGCTGAGCCTGGGCAGGCAGGGCTGGCTCTGAGCAGAGCCTGGGCAGGCAGGGCTGGCTCTGAGCTGAGCTGGGCACTGGGCTCTGAGCTCCTCAAGGAAACATTCCAGCTTGTGTCAGCTCAGCTGAGTTACTGGTTCTGCACCAGCTGCTCCACTTGGCAATGAGCACAGGGATGTTCTCAGGACAGAGATTTCTGGGCACTTTCTGAGCTCCTCTGGTGACAGGGACATCCAGTAGCTCCTTCCTCGTTCTTCCTTCACGCTGGAGTCCTCTGGGTGTGTCTGACCCTGTCCTGGCTGCTGGATGTGCCAGACCAGACCCTGGGCTTGGTCAGAGCAATGCTGTGCCCACTCAGGGTTCCTCAGGACATGAGGAGCTGGATATCCCATTCCTCATCCCAAGCAGCTCAGCTCCCTCACTTTGGGGTTTCTGCAGAACCTCCCAGGCTGAAGGCTCTGCCCACCCCCAGCACCCCACGGGTCTGAGGGATTTGGATTTTCAGCAGACTCTGCATTCAGCTGGTGCCTGAGGAGGAGCTGTGGCCCCACAGCCCTGAGCAGGCTGATTGTTGGCACTGATTATTGATTCACAAATGGAGACTTCAGCTCTGGGTTTGTGGCCTTGGGCTTTATCTGCACACCGTGCTGTCAATCCCTGACAAATATTCCTGGAGAACACTTCCTGCCTTGAGCCAAGCTGCATCTCACCCATTTCAAATTAACACTTTGAATATTTAATTACCCAACGTGTCTCACCAATAGCAATATTCCCCCGAGCACCATTATTGAAGGAACACTGAAAAGTTTTCTTCTCTGGAAGTGCTTGTCTGTTAAGGGAAGGCCAAATGAATGTTCCTTATCTCAAATGCACTCTGGAAATAGCCAAAAAAATCAAAACTAAGAACATCCCATGTCCATTTAGAGAGACAGCTTGCTCTCAGTGTACTCACTGCACTGCCTTTGTGCTTTTCTAGTTCATTTAAGGTAGATTTAATGAGTGGAATAAAAAAAATCTAGCTGAAGTTAGTGTAAAAAGCACTGAGAAGTCCTTACCTGATGTCTACAAAAAATAGGAAATATCTAAGTTATAGCAGAAAGGCCTCTGTGAATTTAACTTTGGAGGCATTGGTGTGGTCGTGCACAAAAGGGAGTGTTTTAGGGCTGTTGACTTAAAAGGGATTTCATCAATTATTGTAATTTCTTTCAGTTCTTCTGTTTCAATCTTTGAAGACGTCTTGGAAATTTTGTCTTGGTGGGAAAAAACCTCCAGGGATCAGGGTGGAATTTAAACTCTGTTGGATCTGTCCTTTAATCAGCTTCCTGTAGTTTTCATTCTTAAAAGATACCAGCAAAACGAGCACCAGTTGTGTGTGAGCTACAAATGTCTAAAGAACTACTACTTCAGCAAAATGTATTTTTTATAACATGGAATCAAGCACAAAACCCCACGAATTTGTGTCAGGACAGGACTTTGAGAGATTCAACTATCTGCTATGAAAATCACAGAAATCCTTCTGTAGAAACAGGGGTGGTTCCTATAAAAATACTATCAATAAGGAGTATTTAGTACTAAAATTAGTATGTAGTACTACAGAATATTAATATTTAAATATATTTAAATAATCATTTATATCAATTTTGTAGTGATACTAATCATATCAGTAAGGAATATTTAATACCCATTCTCCTTTTTTTATGCATCTGTTGTAATTATATTCCTCTAGTTTTTTAATTGTCTTGTACATGGACAGTTGCAAGTGACAGAGATGGAATATTAGAGAGATTTGTGAATCTTTTTACTGAGATCTTATTATCTGGAAAGTAAGGGACTTGGCTGAGCCAGTGAGGCCACTTCAGTATTCCACTTTTTTTTCCAAATATCTCCCTAAAGTGTCGCCTCTTAGGAGTGAAAATATTCCTCCTGCCAGGCAGAAAAACACCCAAGAGTTCTGGTTCAGCCCAAGGCATTGGGCTGGATTTCTGCCCTTGCAAATGTGAGCAGAATTTAGCACTGCAGAGCAGAATGCTGCCAATTAGCAGTGCTTGTTTATTTAGTAATTTTGGAAATGCAATTTTTACACGTTCTTCTTCATCAAATTGATCACAGGGGTTTGAAGCCAGGTGAGCTCCCACTAAGAAGCTGAAATATTGACTTCAGATATGTCTGAGATTTTTTTTTGCCAGCCTTAAGGGAAGGAAAATTTTGCTAGTTGGTGTTTTCCCCTCCTGTAAACTCAAGGGTTGAACTTCCCCTCTCCCACCTTCCTTCTGCTCTTTCAGCTAAACTCAAGGGTTGAACTTCCCCTCTCCCACCTTCCTTCTGCTCTTTTGGCTTCCACACAGGAGATCCACACAGGGAACTTGTCAGCAGGGAAATTTGCCCTTCCCTCCATCCCACAGGGAGTGCTCCTTGATGCCTCTTGCTGGGTGAGGTTAATGAGAGCAGGAATCCTCCCAGGATGGGCAGTTTCACCAGGCCCATTCAGATGTTGATCCTACAGTTGTTTTTTCCCTTTGGGATGCCCAATACCTGCAATAAAATCCACTTTCACTGGCCCCTGGTGGAAGCATTTTCTCTTCCCAGGTTCATTTCTTGCTGCTGGATCATCCCAGCCAGGGCTGATGGAAAGGTTCCCAGGACAGAGCCATGTGTTCCATCTCTCTTTGCCTTCCCACGGACACAGGCTGGTGAAAAAAGGGGAAAGGGCTGCTTTGGGGTGTTCCCTTCCAATCCCCTTGCACCTGGGTGTGGGAATGGTGGGGATTTTCTCAGGTCTGTCCTACTGCCCTACACCCCATTGCTTCCTCTGTACATTCATTATGAGATGGAGCACCTCACGTTGATCTGGGAGGTTCTCCTCAAAGCCCATGATGGAGGAAAGATTAAATAAATGGAAAATAAATTTAAAATACTCAGGAAAATGTAAATTCTGTATGGGCTATTGTTTCAAGGCATATAACGAGTGCAGATAGTCAAGAAGTGGAAAATCTGATTTGTGAGAGAGCATGGCTATTGATATCTGCTTAACAAACTCCTGAATGAAAGAACATCTCTTGGGAAACATTTATTTTAATCTAGGTCCCTAGCAGACCTGGCTTTTCTCTTTTCCAAGAGTTCTGAGGCATGTTCTGATTTCCACCCCTTGGTGACACACAGGAAGGAGGAAGCAGCTTTTTTGGGGTATTTCCCCTCACAACAGCTCCCCTTTGTCTTGTTCCTTCTGTGTGAGGCTCCTGTTAAAAAGTCAAGAATGAGTTGAGCCCCTCTGCCTG